AACATGTCGCGTGAGGCGTGGGAATTCCCGGGAACCTCCGAGCACCACCTGCCTAATAAGGCATGAACCACGTAAAGCCAGCGGAATAAGTGTCTGAACCCTCGTACACTGCGGTTCTGGTAGTCTCGTCCCCAGACGTTATAGAGGGGACTCAGCATGATCTGGTCGGAGTGCCAAAATCTTGTGCACTGTCCTCTCTATAATGTCTGGCGCATTTTGATTGTGAACTAGCACTTCCTGTCACAGCGTGACTCATCATGAGTAGTCCAAAATAGCAGACCTGCCAAATTGAGCACATTTTGGCTTCACCTGTCCTTTGAATCTGACATGCTTCCACTGAGTATCAGTTATGTATTGTACAGTAACATTACATTTGTATGGTACAGAAAAGAACAGATACTCGCAAACTCAGGATGTATGCTACTCAGAAATGGAGGACCGTGGCAATCACAATCCTCCGCCACACAGGGAGGCTGCACTGGTCAGGTCAATGAATAGTGCATATACTCTCCCATTATTCCAGGCTCAGATGCTTCTATTGAATGAGCTTCAGGGATGAGTGATGCGCGCTATGAATGGCATTGAATGCATGGTGCTCACATTCTGCCACAGATAAATTTAGGACAGCCCTATCACATGACCATGACCTATGACGGAAGTGCTAGTTCGCGATCGAAATGCACCAGACGTTATAGAGAGGACAGCACACAAGATATTGGCACTCTGACCAGATCAATCCAAATTTATAGCACCCATAGATTTCGACCTTTGCCTTAGCTGTCTTGGGAAAACACTCTATTTATGATAAGGATCAATTCCCCAAGAGGGATTTTCAATAGCTTCAAAATTGAAGGAGTTATAATTTTGGATACCTCCAATTTTGCCAGCTGACATAATATCAATTATGTAATCACCATATTGGGTAATATAGCTGCCTAATTTAGTATCTATGAATCAAACTGATGAGCCAAAGCTTCCGGAACATGCCTGTGGGATGTGTATTGCTTGGAACTGAATTGCCACACCTTCAGCTGGGTATCTTTAGCTCCCAGCCCTTCACGACAAGTGTCCATCGAATGGATCATGTGATGTTCCCATTGTCTCCAATTTGACCTGGACCATGGCCTTCGGAAGGTTTTCCTCCAGAGTGTCGAAGGTATAATAATACTATAATTGCAATTCTCTCGCAGATACTTCTTCACGGTGCCTCAGAAGAACTCAATGGGATTAAGTTTGCAGTGGAACTTTGGTAAGAATATGCACAGGTGTCTTCGACGCTTGATGACCTCTTGCACGAGCACGAGCAGCTGCATCCTTCTGCGCTTTCCTGCGAGGCGGCATAGCTCAGGCCAGTGTGAAGCTCCAGCTCAAAATTGTCGGGTAAATTGACTTATATTACTGGGAGCCAAGTTCAGCCCCGCCGTTGCACTATGCTACAATGCTAGACAATATATACCAAAACAAATACTGAAAATATGAATATAATATTTGTACCCAGATGGATTTTGCCGCTGTCCAAAAGTGGTGGTGACTAGGTGTCCCGCACCATTGGTATAATCAGGGGTACTGGTTGAAGCGGCGTGACAAGTCACTAGTCACGTGACACGCGACCTGCGCGACCATAACTGAACGCGTTGTGGAATCACATTTAGCCGTGCCATGTCTCTGCACTTACACCCACCAGATGATTTCCTTACTTTTCCCTATGAACTACCGTACGATATTCAGACAAGTCTGATGCAACACATTTACTCCTCCATCGAAGACCACCAGGTTTCCATTATAGAGAGCCCGACGGGAACTGTGCGTGAACCTCCATCAGTACGATGTGTGCTCACGCGTAAATCTAGGGCAAAACGTTAAGCTTGCTTTGCTCAAGCCTCACCTGGCTTTCGGATAATTTGATGCGCTCGCACAAAGCTATTATGGGTGGAGAGCAAGGTAAGTGTCCTCTCAAAATATCTACTAAAGGGTCACCTTCCAGCTTCTTTAGATCATGGCGACTGGGTCACTATTCAGGATCATAACAGACGTCAACGTGATCAGGAAAGGATAGAAAAGGAATACCAGAGGCGTCTCGCTGAATTACGGAAAAATGAACTCATACTTAGGAAAGCGTCGTCTGGAAGAGTGCATAAGAGGCGGGTACGCAGACATCTTTCGCCTGCGGATATGGACAGCTCAAGTTATTTCAGCGTGTCTCCGCGAATACGAGAGACAGACCCGCAGAAGACGAGTCCTTCCTACCGGATAACGTTGACACCTCCGATGTCAATGATAATATCAGTCCGGCCGTTCGTGCCCTCATGAAAAAGTGTCTGAATCTTTCATATACCCTGACCTCATACTGATGGGCTCTGTAAGGGTTTCCCAGAACAATGAGGAGGAGCCCAATCCTGTGCCCATACCTACAAAAATATATTATGCTTCCCGAACACATTCTCAGCTTTCTCAAGTTTTATCCGAGCTTCGAAAACTGAAACACTCCGCGTTATCCATCCGACTGCGGTCTACTGCCGTGCTCGATACCAGTGAGTATCTCGACTCAAGACTGCACAGTTAGAATTTTCACTTGCCTTGAAATAGATAACCTCGACGAAACAGAAACAGATACGACCAGCATCACGAAGACAACTGCTCTTGGCTCGCGCAAGCACCTATGCATCAACGAGGAAGTGAAACGGCTTAGGGACATTGACGAAGCCTGCCGGGAGATGCAGTCTGGTAAGACGTGCCTCGATACGCTATACGTGCGCCTTCGATTTATTGTGCACTACCACAGACACCAGCAGCAAACGATGCCCCCACCTCCCATCTGGCGACGATCGCACAAGGCTGATGGAACTCAGAGATCATATCCTGGTGAGCAGCGGGCTGGGATAGGCCAGCATGATCTGACATTCTTGCTCAGGCATCTCCCAAAGATATTGAAGAATTGGTGGAGATCGGGCAGTCGCTAGGCACGTGCCCTTATTTCGGGTCCAGGGAGGCAATCCCACAGGCAGAGGTAGGTGGTGTCTTCTTTCGAAAGATCAGCCGACTCAATATTTCGTGCCTTGGTCAATGGATACACTTCAGCTCGTACTACTGCCGTACAACCTCCTGCTCGATAAGACAGCGCGAGAAGCGCTGAAGATTGATCTAACTGACCAGATTGTTATTATTGACGAGGCTCACAGTACGCGTGACCCGACTTGTTCTATGTCGCCGCTGACCGGGAAGTGACCCTAGATCTTATATCGACGCTCCTTTCCCTGGCGACTATATCGCTCTCCTTCCGTCTATTATCCACTTGTTCAGAGCAACTTCGGATATATTTCACGAAATTCCGGACTCGCCTCACGTCGCACCACGCTCTACATCTCAAACGATTGATGATTCTACTGGATGCTTTACGATCCCTACTGTCATCTAGCTCGACTCAGAAAGATACGACGCAAGTCCTGACTGTTGGTGAATTTACTCGTAGTCTAGGCCGCAAGGTGGAGGGCGTGAACTTCGCTGAGGTGGAAACTTATTTACGTTCCAGCAAGGTGAGACCCACTCGCCTCCGGTGCCAGGTGTTCTGAAGGGTATCTCTCGTAGATAGCAAGAAAAATAAGTGGCTACGCGGATCAGGTGTCTCAGGATACCACGACGGCAGGTACCTACCCTCTACTGTGATACTTGCGAAGGACCTGATGATCGTCCACAGGTCTGCCCCACGCGAGGGGAGGCGCTCTTCCTCCCCTGTATGCAGTAGAATCGTTCCTAATGGCCTTAAATAACCCAAGCGAGGGTATGTCTCCTCACGGTGCACAACGCATGTCGGAACACTTACGATTCTACCGGCAGATGGTCGAGTCACTATATCAGGATCCAAAGTAGAGGAGTCCGAGATCAAGTACCAACACCTCAACCCGTCGACCCACTTCATCGAGGTTATCGACTCTGCTCGTTCGGTCATTCTCGCCGGTGGTACAATGTCACCGGTGAGTTTCATGCATACTATCTCATGCCCGACATGGTGTGAGATATCTCTCAATAGATGTCAGATTTCACCCATCAGCTGTTCTCCCACATACCTTCGGAGCGGATATCCACGTTCTCCTGCGGCCACGTTATACCGTCTACGAATTTACAGACACTTATACTAAAGAAAGGACCAGCGGGCGGAGATCTGCTTTTCAAGTATGACCAGCGAAGCAACACGGCTTTGGTACGTATTAACGATTCCACGTACATGATCAATCCGCTGAATCGTCCGACAGGTTGCCGAGTTGGGTCAAATCATCTCCAACTTCACAAACGTCATATCAGGCGGCATGGTGATTTTCTTTCCTTCGTACAGCTTCCTTGACAAAGTCAAGGTAGCTTGGACAGAAAGCAAGCTCCTTGATAAGATAGCCGCGAAGAAGAAAGTTCGTTCCGTGATTGGTCCCTAAGCACCGTACTGATCTCACACAAGATATTCTATGAGCCCCGCGATAACGGAGATGTCGATGCAGTCCTGCAGGAGTATACAAGACATGTGTATTCAGGGGTATTCACATTCTCCGACTGCTGCATTGCTCGTAGACTGACGACTTGGTAAAGGTGACTGCGGCGAATGGTAGGAAGCCCGGCGCATTAATGTTCGCAGTCGTCGGGGCAAAGCTCTCGGAAGGTCTCAATTTTTCGGACGATCTGGCACGAGCCGTGCTTGTGGTTGGCTTGCCCTTTGCGAACTTAAATTCCCCGGAGTTGAAAGAACGTTTGAAATACGTGAAGGCCCTGCAGAGCAAGGGGGTTATCAAATCGGATGATTCTAGCGGTGCCAGAGATGCCGGAATGGAGCTATATGAGAACATGTGCATGAATGCCGTGAATCAAAGCATCGGTGAGTAACCGGCCTTGAGACGGTTCTCGTAGGCTCGGCTCTGCGACTGAACATATATTCAGGACGAGCTATCCGGCACCGTGGCGACTGGGCCTCCTTAATCCTGGTCGATTGTCGCTATGCGTCCCCTCGGATACGCAAGAAACTCCCCAAGTGGATCGGCGATACCACGCTGAGCTGTGAGACGTTCGGACAGGCAATGAAGGAACTGGGGGCATTCTTTCGTCAGAAGCGGGGTTGACAGTACTAGTCCCACGAGCTTATAAGAGTTGCGAGTTGTATTTTCATGTTTTGACGCGCTATAGCTACATCCGGTATTTTTATTTTGGCCCCGTATGTATGTTACTGTACACTGATACGCTCTTGGAAGGCCACAGCGCTGTGGCAAGTAGTTGTGGCATGTAAAGCCGATCCGCCCTGCTTCTTCGGATCTTGATCTTGATCTGCCATGGTCCTGTGACGTCATCGGAGAACACCAGCGGAAAGCAGTTACAGGAAATCCAACAGCCTAGTTTCTAGGGATACAATGCGGAAGAAAATGAAAGACTGCGAGCGGTAATGGGAAACGGAAAGGAGGAAAAGGAACAATTAGTTACATGTTCGACAGAGGTATGCAAGTATCGTATCGACTGCTGGGGGGTCGCGATCTGCGGTCATGCCCTTCTGTACGGCATTGCCCAGTCGAGGATTTGGCCTCCCTGCAAATCGCGCTGACACCAGTTGCCGGAACGGCTCAGATAAATAGGATCTGCCTGAAATCGCCTTACGAGTCGACCTCTTCATCGACTGAGTTTTCGCGGTACCAGTTCCTCAACCACTTCTCCGCAGCTGCGTACTCGACCTTCACTTGTGACAAGAGGGGCTTGATCTTCGAGAGAGCAGATTCTTCCGTCAAATCCTTGTTCGATTCTTCGTCTCGCAGCTGACCGTAGTGCTGAATCTTTTCGCACGAAGCTTGCACCTTGGTCACGCCCAGCGCGGCCGATGATCCTTTCAAGAAATGTCCGAGCGACGACAGCTTCGCCAAATCCTTCTTCTCGCTGTACCAGGTTTAGAGAATGCAAATTAAATATACGACACAGTACTCACAAGGCTTCGTCCATCTCTTTGAAGGTAGAGCTTGCCTGACCAAAATATGCCCAAGCCATCCCGCGAGAGAAGTCGTGTGTCTCATCTTCGTCCAGATCGAGGATTTGGTGGAAGGTCTCCATATCTATTGTCGCTGTAGCATCATCTTCAGGCTTCAATTTGAATTAATACCCGGCAGATCAGACGTAGATCAAGAGACACGGCCAAGCAAATATCTGGATTCAGCCCAGAGTACAACACGAATCTCAAAGATCACAGGAGCTCACCTGCGCAGAATCGGCGTCAGACACGTCTGCCTCGAGTTCCGGCGTCTTCCCGGCTGCGATGGCTGCAGAGGGCTCTACAGAAGGTGATCGGAGCCTGGACTCAGCGGGTTTGGCGGGTTTCGAGTCGGGAGGGATGGACGCGCGCGCTGAAGGCTCCTCTGAGACGTGGCGAGAGGGGGTCGAGGCGACACGAGCAGGCTCTGGCGTTTTGGCAGCCATGACGGGTAGCAGAGAGAAGGAGGCGGCGACGGAGGCAGCTGCAACGGAGTGGCTGATTATCAACGGAATATATTCGGCCAGCGCCGTAAATGGACTTTGTCGCCACAACCCTAAGTACCAAGCGCGGTCTCTGTTGTACAGCCGCTGCTACAGCCGAAAGACGTCGATAGACTGCCCTGCAAGTCTCTCGGGCCCAGCAATCATTCACCGTTTTGCCAGATGACGTGAATGCAACCCCTTTCTCACAACAGCACGGTCCGTATGTTCTACCGACAGTTGACTTACATGACCTGTTATGCTAATCGAGGTCATCATACCTTTCCCTCGCTGCTCTCCCACCTTGTTTACGTGCGGCATTCCTACCTTATCTATTGATCTTGCATCCCCAACCTTATTTTGCATAAACATCAGGCACGCTCATATGCATAGCTTCCCCCACGAGGCGTCAACCGTCCCAGGAGCCGCCTCGGACGGCTCGGACGAGTTACCGACGTCAGACGATTCGCTGGGACCTGAGATCTGCGATCTCCTCCTGGCTGTAACCCAACTCTTCCAGGACCTATCTGTCTAATGAGTGACGCTCGAATTGATCAATCGTGATAATCGACTTGCCTCGGTCGTGTGCTGCGACAGCCAAGGTGGCGGCCGTCTTACGGGCATCCTCTTGCCATTGTACGATACAGCAGGAGCAACTAGCTTGATATCACCTGCTCTGGGGTGCTGTCCCTACGTTTCAACATACCCTTTCGAGCGGCTATAACAATCACGTACTTTAACATCAACTGTGATACCACGCGCGACTGCTTGAGGGTGCTCAAACGTCTGCTTGATATTGTTGATGGGCCCAAAAGGAATTCTACCCCACACGTCGTAATTGTCTCCCCCATTAAAAATCTCGCGGACTTACCCTAAGCCCGTGAATTCCTTCAGCCAGTGATCTCTGTCGTGCTCCATCAGGACATCGGTGATGCACTGAACGATCTTCGCTCGGTTCGCTACCCGTGCAACGTTCGTAGAGAACTTAGGGTCATTAACGAGCTCCGGCTTCTTGAGGATCTTCTCCGCGAGCGTTTTGAACTACGTATCGAAGCAGCCCAGCAGGTACAATGACATCAGTCAGAAGAGTAGATGACACAACGGGACCGACCTGTTTGTCGTTGCCGGCTCCAATCATGAGGAAACCATCCCTGCAGGGGAAGACCTGGTAGGGCACGATTGATGGGTGGGAGGTGCCATGCCGTCCGGCTTCTTTACCAGCAATTAGATAATTAGATGCGATATTCGCCAGGCCGGCTATCTTTCAAGCTCTACGAATGAGTCAAGACAGCCGCACAATACGTGTAGCGTGTTGGTACCTGGGTTTCGAACAGGTTGCAGTCGATCCAGACACCCTTGCCCGTCTGCTGGCGCGAAAGCAATGCGGCCATGATTGCACCGTGCGCGTATAGACCTGTGGCAATATCCGTCGCGGCAACGCCGACCTTACAAGGCGGGCCATCTGGTTCTCCTGTGCTGCAAAACTCGACTGTAAGGTTCAGGAACGCCGACCAGTTTGGACACTGACATATGCATGAGACCGGCCTCTGCCTCCACGATCACATCATAACCAGCAGCTGTCCGATACGGACCAGTCTGACCATACCCTAGTTTCTGTGAGCAATGGGGACACATGCAGATAAAGACCTTCGCAGCACACCAGTTATGGAGGCATATATCAGTCTGGGATTGAGCTTATGGCACTGCTCCCAGCCCAACCCCATGCTTGCTAGCTTGCCAGAGATGAAGTTCTCGACGAGAACGTCGGATTGTTTCACTAGTCTGTGTAAGACTTCCAATCCTTTCGGCTGCTTGAAGTTGACGGTAATCGAACGCTTGTTGCGGTTCACGGCAAGGAAATACGCCGACTCGGGGGGAAGATGCGCAGCCTCGGGAGGTCCACCGTCGGGCGGCAGTGGTGCAGATGGAGGATACCATGACCCTACGAGGCGCGTCTCGACATGAGACGGACTGTGTGTGGGCACACGCGGTGCTGCTTATTCAGCACTCACTCGTGTCATCGCCCTTGCTTACTTCTTCGACCTTGACAACGTCTGCGCCTAAGTCGGCGAGGAGCATGGTCGACGTGGGACCGGCGAGCACCCTGGTTAGATCCAAGACTTTTATACCTTTCAAGGGCGGAGGAATTCCACCGGGGGTGTTTTGGACATTATTTCCCGAGTTGTAACACCGTCCCAGACGCGACCTGAGTAGCAAACGCGGTCCCGTCGCTGTCAGGACATGTCTCCCAGCAGGACTGCGAGCTGGATAACACGCTAGCATGCGTGCAGAGTGTGGGCAGGACAATCCAGGATTGGTGGCTGCTTACAGTGCAGCGATGATGCATGGGAACGCGGGCCATGCCGGACTGTGCCGAGGAGGGGTCGGCAGGCGCGCTGGGCATTGCTTCATCCTCAACGTTGTACCAATCAACTTTGCTCAAGCAGGCGACCGACGCGACGGAGGCGGGACCCTTCCCATCCATCTTGCTTGCTTACCACCATGTTGTCAAGGCAGGTCTTCAGGCGCTTTCCGCACTCAGTGCCGAGGACCAGGCTAGTCCGCGCTGTCCCGTCAGCTCTCCATCGTGAACTGGCGACCGCGGCGCCGCCGCCTTCGCCCAACGACCCGTTCGCGAATGGCACGAATGCGTACTACATCGAGGAGATGTACCGACACTGGAAGCAGGACCCGAAGTCGGTACACGTATCCTGGGATGTCTACTTCTCCGGCATGGAGAAGGGTCTCCCGAGTCATAAAGCCTTTCAACCTCCACCACAGTTGATTTCTCCGCCCGCAGGCGGTGCGCCTGCCTTACACGCTGGCGTAGGAGGAGGAGAACTCGACGACCACTTGAAGGTGCGCATTTTTCTCCAAGTCCCGTCTCGCTGACAGTACTGAGCTATTCTTAGGTGCAATTACTTGTCCGCGCATACCAAGTGCGAGGACACCACATTGCGGAGCTGGACCCACTGGGAATCCTGGATGCTGACTTGCAAGATGTGCACCCGCCTGAGCTCGAGCTCAGTCATTTCGGTTTTACCGAACGCGACCTCGATAAGCAGATTACCCTCGGCCCCGGGATTCTCCCTCATTTCGCCACAGAAAACCAGAGAACTATGTCGTTGCGGGATATCATCAGAATCTGCAAGCGTATATATTGTACGTAGGGCAGTTCTTCCTTGTCACTCTTACGCTGAAGGCGTTATTAGGCGGTGCCGTCGGTATCCAGTATATTCACATCCCAGATAAGGACCAGTGTGACTGGATTCGGGAACGCATCGAGATCCCGAAGCCTTGGAACTACACCGTCGAGGAGAAGCGCATGATTCTTGACCGGCTGATCTGGTCGGAGTCATTCGAGAAGTTCATCGCTAGCAAGTTTCCCAATGAGAAACGGTTCGGTCTGGAGGGGTGTGAGGCTCTGATTCCAGGAATGAAGGCTTTGATCGATCGGTCCGTCGACCATGGCGTGAAGCACATCACGATCGGTATGCCTCATCGTGGCCGTCTGAATGTACTCGCGAACGTGGTGCGGAAGCCCATAGAGGCCATCCTCAACGAGTTCACCGGAACTGCTGATCCCGATGATTGGCCTGCTGGTGATGTGAAGTACCACTTGGGTGCCAACTATGTTCGTCCGACACCGTCCGGCAAGAAGGTCTCTTTATCCCTTGTCGCTAACCCGTCACATCTGGAAGCCGAGGACCCGGTCGTCCTCGGTAAGACCAGGGCCATCCAGCACTTCGAAAACGATGAAGCAACCCATGCTACCGCGATGGGTGTCCTCCTTCATGGTGATGCTGCGTTCGCCGGCCAGGGTGTTGTGTATGAGACCATGGGCTTCCATAACCTTCCCAACTATGGTACTGGAGGAACCATCCACATGATTATCAACAATCAGATTGGGTTTACAACTGATCCCCGGTTTGCTCGGTCCACACCCTACCCATCTGATATTGCGAAGGCGATCGACGCTCCCATTTTCCACGTAAATGGCGATAACGTCGAAGCCGTCAACTTTGTCTGCCAGCTCGCCGCAGACTGGCGTGCCAAGTTCAAGAAGGATGTCGTGATCGACATCGTCTGCTACCGGCGTTATGGACACAATGAGACCGACCAGCCCAGCTTCACGCAGCCGCGTATGTACAAGGCTATCCAGAAGCAGCCGTCTCCTTTGACCAAGTACACCAAGTTCTTGGTTGACCGCGGGACGTTCTCGCAAAAGGACATCGAAGAGCACAAGAAGTGGGTGTGGGGAATGCTGGAGAAGGCAGCTGCGGGTGCGAAGGACTACGTTCCAACCAGCAAGGAGTGGCTGTCTGCGTCCTGGCAAGGATTCCCTTCGCCGAAGCAGCTGGCCGAGGAGACACTGCCCACTCGCCCTACTGGTGTGAAGGCGGAGACGCTGCAGCATGTTGGCAAGATCATCTCCTCCTATCCTGAAGGTTTCAACTGCCACCGCAATCTCTCGCGTATCTTGTCTGCTCGTGGCAAGACCATCGAGGAGGGCCAGAACATCGACTGGTCGACCGCGGAAGCGCTCGCTTTCGGTTCTCTTGTCTTGGAGAAGATCCATGTGCGCGTATCTGGCCAGGATGTCGAGCGTGGAACTTTCTCGCAACGTCACGCTGTCTTGCACGACCAGGAGAACGAGTCGCAGTACATCCCGCTGAACAACTTGGGTTCGAACCAGGCTCGCTTTGTCATCTGTAACTCGTCTCTGTCGGAATTCGGCTGCCTCGGTTTCGAACTTGGTTACTCGCTCGTGTCGCCGGACGCTTTGACTATTTGGGAAGCTCAGTTCGGTGACTTTGCCAACAACGCGCAGTGCATCATTGACCAGTTCATAGCTTCTGGTGAACGGAAGTGGCTGCAGCGTACCGGCCTTGTCATGAGCATGCCCCACGGTTACGATGGTCAGGGTCCTGAGCACTCAAGTGGAAGGATCGAGCGGTTCCTGCAACTCTGTGATGACCACCCCAATGTTTTCCCTACACCGGAAAAGATTGAGAGGCAACATCAGGATTGTAACATGCAAATTGTCTACCCAACGTAAGTCGTATCTGACTGCGATCCCACAATATATATTGACGATGTTCTCTAGGACCCCCGCCAACTACGTAAGTATTCTTTGGACCAAATCATAGGCTAAACACTAACGTGCTGTTCCTTTAGTTCCACGTCCTTCGTCGCCAGATCCACCGTGACTTCCGGAAACCGGTTAGTGTGGCTGTATCCCTTCATTATTCGTCTCGCTCATTAGTTACTTTTCTGTTATTAGTTGGTCGTCTTCTTCTCGAAGTCCCTTCTCCGTCATCCGCAGGCGCGTTCCACGCTCGATGAACTCACGGGTGACTCGCACTTCCTCCGGTACCTTCCCGAGGCGCAGCCCGATTCGCTTAATCCACCAGAGCAGATCAGGCGTCATATTCTGTGCACAGGTATGCTCTATCGTTGTAGTAGTTCGTGTACTCGGTGCTGATCTATTGCGCTCTATAGGTCAAGTGTACCATGCCCTTCTGCAGGAGCGTGAGCGTAGGGGTATCAAGGATGTTGCCATCAGTCGACTTGAGCAGCTCTCGCCGTTCCCGTATGATTTGGTAGGTCCACACTCTACGGTGTAAACATCCAGCTCTAACTTCGTACTAGATCACCCCCGACCTTGACAGGTACCCCAACGCCGACCTGCTTTGGTGCCAGGAAGAGCCTTTAAATAACGGTGCTTGGACTTACGTTGGTCCTCGCATCTTGACTGCCGCGAACGAGACCCAGCACCACAAGGGCAAGTACCCCTTGTATGCCGGCCGTGACCCAACAAGCTCCGTCGCCACTGGTAGCAAGGTACGTTTAGGAAAAATTAACGCTGGATTCATTACTGACTTGGCAACCTAAGGTTCAACACAAGAAAGAGGTTGAAGCCTTCCTCAACGCTGCCTTCGCTGAGTGAAATATGGACTGTCCTATCTGCGCCTAGCATAATGCATTGCATCGTGAATCGTGTAACTCTTATATGGCTTCTTAGTGTCGATAATGAAAGTGGGGTTAGATCTCACTACCGTTCCTTACAATGAAAAGGGGTTTTGTCTTCCAGATCATGTTCGGCAATCCTACGAATGGTACAACGGACTCAATATCAATTGCTGCCAGCTGCGACTGTGGTGACTATTACTGAGGGATATAAACAAGTGTTGTTGTAATGTACAGATAGGTCGGCAGGATGACCGCGCCCCAATGATTATGCGAAGATAGTTTGTTTCTTTCTAGGCCGAGTGTCACCACCCGTGGGTTCGGTCTCTATTGGTTTGTCCTTAAAGTCAAGCAGACCATACAAGGATGCAATTTGGTCGCCCTACACGAATGATGTGAGTGAAGTGGCAGAAGACGGGCGTGGTCGGAACGAACCTTCTGTTCAAGGATGTCAATGACATCTCGCAGATGGTCCGCCAGTACGTTTCGTTTTGCTACATCCGAGGCGGGGTCCATGTCCTTATATTGGTCGGCCAGCTCCACGTATACGCTGAATGATGGCGCTGGTTAGGCCACGGTATTGCGGAGACACAACACGAGCTTACCCCTTGTAGTGTGTGAAGTCTTCTTCCAGTTCTCTTACAACACGTGCAAGCACGGTCTGAGGGGGCAAAGACTCGCGAGCTTCCTCTTCCTTGTTACGTTGCTTCGCGCGTCTGCGCTCGAATCGGGTGCGGAAGTTGAGAAACTCGTCTTCCACAGCTTCACCGCCGTCCGCAAACCCCTCATCGTCATCTTCGTATCTCCGATGAGTGTCCCTAGCTCGGGAATGGGGGCGGAAGCGCAAAGTCGGAGAGCCGGGACGTCGGCGGCGATGACAGACTCGACAGGTCTTCGCATTATGCTCGGGTGCAGAGAAGAATAGCCGCTCCAAGTACTCGCCACGGATCTGAGGGAATGGTGTTGCATCGACAGGACTGGCTTGCGCCGAGCCAGTATTACGGGCTGGCCTACGCGCAGCTGCGTGCCCAGGCGTAGGTGCAGCAGGCCGAGAAGGCCCAGCTATCCGACCACTATCTTCAGCGTTCACAGTGATAGGGGAATAGGGGCGCTGACGGTTGCTCGACCCAGCGGAGGTCAACTCCTCACCGATGCCAGAGTCTTGAGATCGGTTACTTGCACTATTGGGGCTGGAGCCTCTAGAAGACCTTGACTGGGAAGGGCCAGGAGTCGCAGAACGTGACTGAGACTGGGATAAGTTGGAACGGGTACGGGAGCCAGAGAAGGAAATGGGCGAAGCCGTGCGCTCGAAGCGCCGATCGGTCAAGTCTTCAGATATCCTCTCCACCTCTTGATTGCGGATGAATCTTCTTGAGCCTCCCTCCGGTGCGCCATAAGAACCAAGTGTCGCTCGATCCGTTGCAGATGTCCTGTCATATGGAGGTTGCACGGTGGAGGGGTACTCCGCACCAGAATCTCGTTCGGAATCCTGGTCTTCTTCTGGCTCGTCATCCTCGAGTGGTTCGGGCATCGCGACGTGTCCTGGCTCTTCTTCTTCCTGTTCCTGCTCTCTGTCCTGTTGCTCTTCATCCATATGCTCAGTAACATCCCGCGTCATCTCCTCGGTCACGTAGGACAATGAAGTGTGGCCTTGGGACTTCAGGATCCGCCTCTCCCTCAAACCTTCCTCCACAACCCCACGTAGTACCTCTATCTCTCCGGCAAGCCTCTCGACTTCTTCCTTTAGTCGGTCTACCTCTTCCACCTTCTCTTTCAGAGTACGAGAATCCGTCTCTCGCAGTGACCGCAACTCCATGAGTAGCTCCTGATGAGAGGAGAGTTCACCTGTAAGCCGAGACAGGTGTGTGCGTAACGTAGATATCAGAGCTTCCAGCGCTGCAGGTTACTCATCAGTAAAGGAAGTACAGGTAGGTCGTGGTTGACTAACCTTTCTTCTCCTCGATGATCTGCTGGTAACGCTTTTCATTTCCTTCAGGCATCGTTGAAGGCCCTGCAACAGGCTGCTTCGACCCCATGGCCTTGCTCTTTCCCTGCCGGTGCCGCCCACTATCTTCCAGCAACACAGTTCGCTCTCTTGCCGCTTCTCTTTTGCACGCATCTAGCTCTAACTCTAGCTCGCGTACTCGACGACGCGACACGCCGTTCTCGTCTTCGAGCCTAGCCAGCTTCGATTGGAGGTTATTCAGGACGCCTATCAGGCGAGCTACGCAGATGTCGCATATTGAGCATGGAAATGAGTACAACGTCGGTCACGGCTTACCTTCAGCTTCTGCAGCGGCATCATCGTCGACCTGGTATCCATAGTACTGAAGGCCAGGTTTTGCAGGCGACGCCACAGCGCTCGTTAGACCAGTGACATCAGGAAGTTGAACACCGCCTCTGGACATGTTCACCGCGGGGGAACGCGAAAAGGGAGCGGGTGAGTCGACTGCAGTGCGGGCAGCAGGTCTGGAGTCAGGGTGAGGATAGTTCGCCAGGTCCCGGAAGGGGTTTCTCTCCGTCCGCTCAGGTAAGCCAGTTTTCTTCGAGCGACGCTCATGAATAGTGCTTTGGGCAGTGACATTCGGGAGATACACCTCCCCCTCCCTGCCCTGTATGTCCCAGCGGCTTTGCTCTTCCTGTATCTCCTTTGCCAGCCCTTTCGCCAGTCTCGTGAAGTGGGAACCGCCGGTAGACGGGGTCGCGGTACGAGCCGGGCTATTCCTCGCTTGACGTGACTTGGTCGCAGCCCGGGGAGTACGCTCTGCGGGCGAGGGCGACGCAGGAACGGCAGATCGGTGTCGCTCGGAGATAATTTGTGGTTGCTGTGGCCTGTATTGTAACGACCTTACTCTGTCTCGTGAGGAAGATGATTCGGGCGAGGGCGAGAGGGCGCTCCGGGGACGCTTGGGCGAGAAGGCTAGTCGGGAAAGATGATCAGCTAGTTTGGGTCGTGGTGTGCCGCTTGCGTTGCGCGAGGCGTCGACGATGTGCTCAAGCTCCGCCGTGTCGTCCACCACCAGTGGGTCGAATGCGGACGTCTGTGGGGAGAATTGATAAGACAAAACGAGGATGGCGAATCCACGCGTGGCAGGTTATAGAGGTCGATGTGGAGACGTACAGTATTCCGAGATCCCGTATCAAAGATGCTCATCTTGCTATCCAATGCTGCTACCATGTCTTGGATTGGTCGATCCGGGTCGTACTCAGCACCACTCAAGCTGGGTTCTCTGCGGGCGCCGCGTCCTGCCAGACCAGCGCTCAACGTGAGAGCACTTGCGTGGTGTGCTGCCGTGGAGATGGTCTCGCCTCCGTAGGGGTTGGTGCCCTCGTCGTCGTCCACGGTGGGATATGACCAGGCACCCAGCTGACTGTGGCTGCCAGGTTCAAAGTCGTCTCGCGAGCGATAGTCAAGCGACAAGTACCCGTCCATGGGCGAAGGACCAGAGTGGTGCCTGGGATATTCGATAGAGTAGTCGCCGGTGCTATGATTGTCGTCGTCTGGTGTAGAAGAGAGATGCAAAGACAGGTCAGTGTGCTGTAGATTGTTCTCGAGCATGATGCGGTGGTGCTCCTGCGCGTCGCCGCGAATGCTGAACTCGAGATTGTCTGAAGCTCTTTTCATGGATGGGTGTGTCGCGGAACAAGAATAAAGTGAGAGGGCGAGCCAGACGAAATATAAGCGGCGGCGTCTCTGCGAGCAGCGCGCAAGTCGTGAGGCGCTCGCCCGCTTCTTCCCGCGTTCAACAGGACGCGCCGTCACGTGCACCGCGTCGCGTACGTAAGCAGGGCTGCACGTGAAGGCGAACCCTAACCCTACTTTTTTCGGCAACGCAACGCTAAGTCCTGGCTCTCGATCGTCTCGTCGCCACTGGACAGGGCATGGACGAACGACCGCACAAGGCACATAGAGCAGCTCAGTCTGGAGCGAAGGCGGAGAAGAAGAGTAAAGCCAAAGGAAAAGAGAAACAGAAAGGTTTCAACGAGAAGGTGCGTGACTCTTGCATGCAACATTACAAAAATACTTACGCGCTGCGCAGGCTTTCGCCCCAAAATCAGGTCGTCGAGCAGAACGTCAAGGTCGTAGAAATGTGGAACGCGACCAGACACGTCTCCATGTTCCCCTCGTCAACCGCACTCCTGACGATCAACCTCCTCCGGTCATCGTCGCTATAGTTGGACCTCCCGGAGTAGGTAAGACTACTCTCCTCAAGAGTCTGGTTCGGAGATACACCAAACAAACTCTCAACGACGTCAAGGGCCCGGTGACTGTTGTCAGTGGCAAGAACAAACGATTGACTTTCATCGAATGCAATAATGACCTCACGTCCATGATCGACATTGGCAAAATTGCGGACCTTGTCCTTCTCATGATTGATGGCTCTTTTGGCTTTGAGATGGTAGGCGAGGTCCGCATTTGGGCTGCGAAAAGTACAACTAATCCTCTTCCATAGGAAACGTTTGAGTTTCTCAACATCCTCCAATCCCACGGATTCCCCAAAGTCATCGGGGTCCTCACGCATCTCGATCTCATAAAAAAGGCAGCTACCCTTCGTGCAACCAAGAAGGCCCTGAAAAAGCGTTTCTGGACTGAAATTTATCAGGGCGCCAAGCTCTTCTACCTCTCAGGCGTGCTAAATGGGCGGTATCCGGATACCGAGATCCTCAACCTCTCCCGGTTCATCAGCGTCATGAAGTTCCGGCCCCTTGTCTTCCGCAACACACACCCGTACCTGCTCGCCGACCGTATTGAAGATCTGACGCCGCGCGAGCTCGTACGAACGACGAAAGGCAAATGTGACCGGACGGTGACGCTCTACGGATACCTGCGCGGGACGAATCTGAGACATGGGATGAACGTGCATATCCCCGGCGTCGGCGACTTGGGCGTGAAGAGCATCACGATGCTGGGCGACCCATGTCCGCTCCCTACAGCAGAGTCGGAGAAGCGCAGGAAGTTGAGTGAAAAGAAGAAACTGTTAGTGCACGCACCCATGAGTGATGTGGGAGGCGTGACGTATGACAAGGATGCGGTTTATATCAACGTCCCGGGAAGTTTCACCCGGGGTAACACAGACGGTACGTTACAGGCTGTTGTTCTGATAGAGTGCAGCATCGTTTAATCAGAGTCTGTTGCAGTTCCTCAGGGTGAAGGCGAGCAAATGGTGCTGGATCTTCAGGATGCGGGAGAGACACTGGAGGACGCAGTCGCCCGGAGTCAGATTAGGCTCTTTGGTTCATCGTCGAAACCCATCGTCGTGAACTCAGGAAACGATGACGAGGCATCTGACAGTGAAGGAAGCGAGGTTGAGTATCATGACGAGGAAGCAGAAGACGACTTTGGAGAGTACGGGAGCGATTCCGAAGGTGATGATGGCGACGATAGCTCAGCAATGGACGAGGAGGGGTGGGAGAGCGATGGAGACGGAGACGGAGATGAAGCGGAGGGACAATCCCATGACCGAGGGCGTTCCGGTCCTCGAAGAGGCATGCGTACCATGCGAGACTTGCCATCGACGGACCCTAAACGTGGAGACGTGGAGTACGCCGAGAGTGACTCTGATCTTGGGGACCTTGACGAGGAAGAAGCCGGGAGAAGGATGTCATTTGAGGAGGATGAGGCACTGGATCAGAATGAGGATGATGAGAGCGACGCGGAACAGGAAGTGCCCCGGTGGAAGGAGAATTTGGCTTTGAAAGCTTCGGAAGCCTTCGATTCACGGCGGAAGAGAGCGAAGGACTGGATGAAGCTCATATATATGAGTGAACTATCCCCTGAAGCCATATTACGCGACACGTCCTCGAAGGATTCAGCAGAGAATCATGAAGGGGAAGAGGGAGACGAGGAGTTCTTCCACGTCAAGAAGAAGTCGGACCCTCTCGCAGATGCCGATGAGGACATGGACATGACGAAAGAGCCAGTTGATCCACAAGAGCTGAAGCAATGGGAAGACGAGGAGCTTCTCAATTCGTTGCGTCGATGTTTCATCACTGGTGGCGTCCAAGGTGACGAGGATACAGGTGCAGCAGCTGACGACGGGTACGAAGACCTCGATGGCGATTTCGAGGACTTAGAGGCTGACGGCGATGCCGCTTCTGCTGAAGTTGATGCTCCCGAGGATCCTGAGGCAGCGAAGGCTGCTGAGCTCGCGGCAAAGAAAGAGGCCCTTAAGCGCAAGTTCGACGAACAGTACGACGACCCCGAGGCATCGAAGATGGATTTCTACGAGGAGAAGAAGGAGGAGATGGCACGCCAACTGCAACTCAATAAGGCCGAGTTCGAAGATGTCGACCCGGAAGCCCGCGCCCTCGTAGAAGGCTATCGACCTGGTACGTACGTGCGCCTGGAGTTGACGGACGTTCCCTGCGAAATGATTGAGAACTTCGACCCTCGGTACCCGATCATTGTTGGAGGCCTACTGCCGTCGGAGGTGCGCTTTGGCTTTATTCAAGTCCGCATCAAGCGTCATCGGTGGTATACCAAGACATTAAAGACCAATGACCCGTTGATCTTTTCGCTCGGATGGAGGCGATTCCAGACTGTGCCGATTTACTCCCTCGACGACCATTCCATCCGTATGCGCATGCTGAAGTACACTCCTGAGCACATGCACTGTTACGCGACGTTCTACGGACCCGTAGCAGCTCCTAACACGGGCTTCTGCGCGTTCAATTCGCTTTCAGGGGAGGTCTCGGGATTCCGCGTGTCCGCTACAGGTGTTGTCTTGGACATAGACCGTTCAGTGAAGATTGTGAAAAAACTGAAGCTGACCGGCGTGCCGTACAAGATATTCAAGAACACTGCTTTCGTCAAGGACATGTTCAATTCGTCTTTGGAGGTTGCTAAATTTGAGGGTGCTAACATCAAGACGGTGTCTGGCATTCGCGGACAAATCAAAAAGGCTCTCGCTAAGCCTGAAGGTGCCTTCAGAGCGACCTTCGAGGACAAAGTCCTCATGAGCGGTAAGTTCGCAAACATGTGTGTTACCCGCTAATTTTGCTGATCGTGTTGCTACACCAGATATTGTTTTCCTCCGAGCATGGTATTCCATACAGCCCCGCAAATTCTATAATCCTGTCACGTCCCTGCTGTTGTCGGACAAGTCACGTTGGCAGGGCATGCGACTCACCGGCGAAGTCCGTCGAGAACAAGGGCTTCACGCCCCAGTCAACGCAGACTCGACCTACAAGCCAGTGCAACGCCCTCCCCGTCGCTTCAATACGTTGAAGATTCCTCGTAAACTCCAAGCGAGCTTGCCGTATGCGTCGAAGCCTAAGCTCATGAAACCACAGCACAAGCAGACGTATATGCAGAAGCGTGCTGTCGTATTGGAGCCTGAGGAGAAGAAAGCCATCGCTCTCCTGCAGCAGATCCGTGCATTGAGAAAGGACCAAGTTGCTCGACGTCGCGAGAAGCAGCAGGAGAGGAAGGCTGAGCGGATGAAGAAGATAGAGAAGGAGGAGAGTAAGAAGCTCGAGAAGGATAAGGAAAAGAGGAAGGAAATCATGCGAGTAGCGGGCATCAAGAGTAAACGGGAAACGGAAAGGGAGGAGGGCGGTGGGAGCAGGAAACGACGGAAGACATAGTTCCCCAATACGACGCCAGTTAGTCCTGCTGTCTCATCTTCACATCCTGTACCCTTACTCTCGTGTATTGCTGCGCTTTCGCTAATTTATTGGTCTTCTTACTGCCTCGAAGGTTGACGAATATCATACAGTATTAAATAGCGCTGAACTGAAGCATCTACAAACGATCTTAATGCAATAAGTCAAGCAAAAGCAAAAGTCAACAATAAGAATAAGTCGTTAAGGTCATGAACTCGTAACAAACGTCGCGTAAGTCCGCCGAACCGATAAATAATCTCTCCCGAGTCCAGTAAGTATATCACCTCGTCTCCTGCGCTGCCTTTGCCTTGACGTCTCTCCAAAACGCGTCCCATCTTACACCCTTGTCTGCCGGTGAACTCGGCAGAACTTCGTCCGCGCCATCCCCAGGCAAGACGTGTGTTGATGTCAGGGAAGCGGAGCCGCCAGCCCCATACACGGCCTGTTGAGCAGCGGCAATTCTGTCGACGGCCTTGATGAGTGAGGGGGTCATAGGCACGGCACCCGGAGGAGGGACCAATTCATTCCGGCCAACGGCCGTAGCCTGCGAGCTCGATACACTACCTTTACTTCGAGAACTCGAGCTGTTAAGTGAGGCGCGCCTGATGAATTCGGGACTCCAGCCAGGGCTATGCCTTTCTTCCTCCCTCTGCAATCGTTCCTTTGCCGCACTGACGGTCACGTCTTCCTCATAGTCCGAGTACTCGGGTATATCGTTGCGAACAGTCAACGACTTGCCGATCCTCTTCTTCTCCTTCTCCATGTCGAGCTCCTCGACAGCAGTAGTTCCGGAGCCCACGCTCGCAGTCTTTTTCAGCACAAACCCCGTTGGACGAGGCGGTTCAAGAGGCTTCTTCTTCAGGTCATATGAGTCGTCCTCCGAATCGCTGGAGAGCTCATCCACTGCGAGCGGTCGGAATTTGATCGCCTCCCGGGTGCGTTTCCCGTCAGTGCCGAGCCTCTTAGAGCTCGCTTTCCTGAGAAACGCCGGACGACGTTCATACTCGAAGATTTCATCCTGCCCTTTGGGGTCCATAATGCTCACAGACCGGTTCTTCTGCAACTTCCCAGCCATTGGACCAGGAGAATAAGGAGGAAGGAGGATATCCTTCTTCACGCCGTCATCAGCGAAGGAGACGTGATCTGAAGAGAATGCGCCTGGAGGGAATAGCGGGTCTTTGTCCTCGGCTGGTGAGGGGAACCACCTCGACCACGCTGATCGTAGTGGCTGAAACTGGCCCGCCCGATCTGCAGCGTTCGGGAGGTACTTGGTGTAGTTCGCCAGGTAGCTATCCCATTTCTATCACAGATCATTAGGATGATGCCGCCTGGGTTATGGACGCGAGACTGTAGCATACCTGATCAGGATTCTCGCCGAAGCGACGCTTCAAGAACCAGTCCACGACAATACCAGTCGCCAGGAACAGACAGTAACCAGCACTCAACCCTCGCTCTTTACTAACGCCCCAGCCGGGGCCATCGCTTACCCACAGTCGTTGCCAGACATCCGCCCAGGGCTCCACACCATTTAGTATGGCTATAGCTACAACCAAGCCGAACGCGCCGGTCGATGAACACGCGATACGAAGAGAGGCATGCCGAACTCGGGGAAAGGGGAGCAGTACGAGGATGGTCAAGATAGGAATGGACACGGACGGAAGGACGATGCGCGTTAGAAGAGATGGGTGGACGATCACTGAGAAGGAGAGAGCCAGAGTCGTGCTTCGTAAAGAATGGAGAGAGACGGGTGTGCGACCCGGATAAATCAGCCACTGCACTTGATATATTGAGACTAAAGGCTGACTCACCCGCCTGAGATGCCTGCAAAAAGAAGGGCGGTGTACTTCCAGCGGCCAGCAAGTATGGTCGTGACAACCGCTGAAAGCACCCATACGGCAAGGAACGACTTAGAATTTAAGGGAACTGAGGAGGATGTGTTCGGAATCAGCAGGGAGAGGAATGTCGAGCAGTGTACTGAAACCATCATGTTCCATGAGCAGAGACCTCAGCTCTCCATGACGCAAGGCACGTACCTCCAAAAGCGTAGCCTGAAGCCAATCCACCCAGGCCTCCTTCCAGTAACCAGACGAATCTCCTCTTCTTGGTGGGGATGTACGAAGAAGGCACATTCAAGTCAAGCGTGTCTCCACTGGGAGCGAATGTTCTCGTCCGATCCAAAGTCAGAAAGGCGCCGGCATAGGTAAGCAGAAAGGAGATAAACAAAAGAGGTAAAGCGTATGCAAGGGTATACGACGAGGTGGGGAGGAAGGACGTGAGAGTGCAGGACTCGGTGGTGTTAGCGGTAGTGGACATGATAAGGGTCGTGAGGGCGTGAAGTCGTGAATGAGGATTTCCAGTATGATATGACCGACTGACAGGCGGACGATGCACTCCTCGTCGTGCAGAACAGCGGCGACCGGCCGAGAGTGCGAGGACGAGGTCGTCTGGGTCGTCTCGTGCGATGAGGGCAGAGAAGTGCGTCCCGATTTGGAAACACCTCATTCAATCCAAAGGCAAGAGACACGGCTATCGAGGAGCTATGCAAAGGGCGAATTTCTTCCGTCTAGTACAAGGTTGTTATACAAGAGCTAGTATATAATCTCGATAGGCCAACGCGACACACCCATCCGAGAGAAATGGGTCCGATAACGTCTGTCATGGTTTCGCTATCCGGCAGGGGCAGGTGTCTCGAAGGACTGGCAAGTAGTATAGGTACAGAGAAACGTAATCACTTACGCTGCCTGGCAGTCCTCGTCGCAGTATTGGGCTTCGTTACACTTACAGCGATGCATACGTTTGTCCGTTCGCTCTTAGTACAACGGACACTTGTACCAGAAGCCGCCGATCATACATCTTGGGTCCTCCATACCGGCGACGCGCCCCAGATTGATCCATGTATCAAGAACATCGTGGGTAGTAGGGGGAAACCCAACAGCCCAGATGCACTGGAGTCGAGCGCGCGGCGCACCAGAGTAATGAAGATTTCGACTTCAGTCGAAAATGCATCACTATTCAGAGGGAAGTTTGCAATAAGCTCAGGGAATAAAAAGATATCGCGCTCCTGCTCATATACATCCTTAGTCTCCCGAAGTCAGACCGTATTGCCTCCCTTATAAGGCAGGTGGAGGGCGGTCGGCATATAACGGTCTGCTTCCAGTCGCGCCTGCCTTGGCTGGCTCACCGATTTCAACATCACGTGAATTGTCCCACGGCCTTTGCCTCTATTCTCTGCTCTACTTTCGCTGCCTGGATGCATAACCAGGATCTGTTTTGACTGCATCTACACTTGAATACCCTGTAATGGTACAGTTATGTGTTTTCATAGCATCAAAACACTCAGAAAATGCGAGAGGACCATGGCAAGAGTTGCTGACTCAGCGCCTCTGGCTCTTCCTAATTTGGACACCATCTCATCCTTTTGCCTCCCCGGCGTGTTTGTGAGCCATAGCACCCTCGCACCTTGCACCCGGTGCACATTGGAAGGGTATATGCCAGACTAAAGCAGAGTATGGATAAATTAATGTATATTTTAATTGGCAAGCATCATATATCAGCACAAACTGCATGGCAACAGCAGAAATGTAGCAGTTAATGAGGATTCATGTCTCCCTTACCTCTCTATTGCTCTGGAATACACATAATAAGGCTACACACACATTGTGAAGGCAAAGGACAACCTGAAAGAGCTTCAAACGCGCTCATACTCGCGTTCGACACTGCAGCGAGCGCGTCCTAAATGAGTGCACGTGACACTACAGGGTCCGAATATGCCTAATGTGCCAAGTGCCGCGCGACTGGATGCAGACTAATACATCCTCCGCAGGAGTGTCTCAGTATAGACTCCAAAATATAGCGTGATACTGAGGTCTTACCAGTCACTGATCGCGGCAACCGGAGTACTATACTCATCGGTCCCGTGCTGTTTAAGATGTTTGACGGCGTGATTATATACTAGCTGCGCAGGTAGTGTCTTCCTTATGGAGGCCTTTTATCGAAGCTCGATAACTGCGGAGGACGTCGATGGCCCGCCTGCGCGTCACGTGCGTACCGAAGCACTAGTGTGACAAGTCTGTGACAGGACGCGTCCACACGTGTTTAGCTTTTCAGCCGGTCCATCCTCGTGTTTCTCTCTTTCTCCGAGTGATCTTAGGACTCTACTGCACGAAGCACTATGGATCACAGGGCAATTCCGATTTATGGATCCGGAACATCTAGCGTCGTGGTACTCCCAACAACTTGAATGGCAGCTCGCGGCAGTGCCGCTACTAATAGTGAGGAGGACGCCTTCAAGTTGCATCATTATCAATTTCGGTGCACTGCCTGCTGGCAGAGCCTGCAAGCAAGGCGACGATTAATATTCTGCCACGATCGAACTTGCAATTGAAGCTTACAGTAACGACTGGTATCAAAGTCCATACTAGGGTGGGATCTAGCTCGTTCCATCTTGTATTGGGGTGGACGTGTACCCCAACCTATTTGCGGGATCTCTCCGGCTTCCTCCTCGAGCGACGCGCAGCAACCAATAAACAAGCGTCTATATCTGCCTAGGTGCTACTGGATCCCTCAATCGATGCGGAGGTCCTGCCAGTCCGACTTTGAATGATATATCATCCCGGTTATATGGCGTGACTTGAGCTGGTGCGGGAGAAGTGCTATTAGCCTCGTACATGTGATATCTTACGAAGACCCCCGCATTTCATCCTTAGCTGTGCGCAGCTGAGGCCTTACGGAAGACTATGCAACTGCACTTGCCCCTCCGCAGGTCCTGCCCCAACCTCTGAGATGGAACCCCAGTGAGGTACTCGTCGAGCATATATAACTTGTGCGAAGTGCTACTATCCAGTCACTTCGGGGTGCAACCTCTCCTTCCATCTGGTTCTGCTAGAGCTTCTTTGGAGTACACGGGACGCAGGCCAAGATGAAACCAACGAGTACTGTGTCGTCTACTTCTACTGATGACGACGTTCCGAAGAACTACGTACAACACATTCTGAGGACGCAAAAGCAGTTACCGCCAGTAACTTGGCACAATTGGTGGAAGGAGTTGCAATGGATCAACGTCCTCGTCCTTACCATAACTCCGTGTCTCGCGATCTACGGCGCCTACACCACAAAGCTGACGCGGGAGACTGCCATCCTCAGTATTGTCTACTACTTCATCACCGGACTTGGTAAGTGACCTATTTACTTTGCTCATATTTCTACTGACATTAGATCGAAACGCGTAGGCATCACCGCAGGCTACCACCGCCTGTGGTCTCATCGCTCATACAACGCTTCCAAGCCGCTCGAATACTTCCTCGCTTTAGCCGGCGCGGGTGCTGTTCAGGGCGCGATCAAATGGTGGTGCCGCGGGCACCGCGCACACCACCGCTACACGGACACCGAGCTCGACCCGTATTCAGCCCAGCGCGGATTCCTATGGTCGCATCTCGGCTGGATGGTGGTCAAGCCACGGAGGAAGATTGGTGCGGCGGATGTTAGTGATCTGAGCAAGAGTGCGGTTGTACAGTGGCAGTATAAGTACTATTTGTGGTTGATGCTGGGCATGGGGTATACGTTTCCTGCTGTGGTCGCTGGGCTATGCTGGGGTGACTGGAGAGGCGGGTTCTTCTACGCGGGTGCATTGCGCTTAACGTTCGTCCAGCACGTAAGTTCCTCAACATCTTTCCCATTGAAACAAGCTAACAGTCGAACCTTAGTCTACGTTCTGCGTGAATTCTCTGGCTCACTGGCTAGGAGAATCTCCCTTCGACGACAAGCACACCCCGAAGGACCACGTCCTCACCGCGTTGGTCACGGTCGGCGAAGGCTACCATAACTTCCACCACCAGTTTCCCATGGACTACCGCAACGCGATCAAGTGGTACCAGTACGACCCGACGAAGTGGTTCATCGCTGCCTGCAAGATTATCGGACTTGCATCTCATTTGAAGGTATGTATGCCTACTGATAACGAAAAGCCTCGACGTGGCTCACCTCTAGCCCGCCCATAGACTTTCCCGGACAATGAAGTCAAGAAGGGACAATTGACCATGCAGCTCAAGCGCCTGCGTGAGGTCCAAGACCAAATCCACTGGGCGTCCGATATCAAGGAGCTCCCTGTCATCACCTGGGATACTTGTAAGAACCCTTTAATCCACGTCTCTCCGATTGTTGATTTGCCTCCCATTACAGTCCAGGAACAATCCGCCCATCGCCCCCTCGTCCTCATCGCAGGCATTATCCACGATATTTCGCCCTTCCTCGACAACCACCCCGGTGGCCGGCACCTACTCGTGCGGTTTCTCGGCAAGGACGCGACGGCTGCCTTCTTCGGTGGTGTGTACGATCATTCGAATGCCGCTCACAACGTACGCCTTCCCCTAGTTCACGAGACGTGTGATGGTACTTACGGTGCATTTCACATCCATAGTTGCTGTCGATGTACCGGGTCGCGATACTGGAGCATGGATACCAGCAAGGCGTGGAAGAGAAAGTTGTGCCTCCGGCGCAGAGGCTGCGGATCTTACGTTATAATGAGATGGGCTATGGGAGTTCCTCAGATGAGACCTTGGTGGGGGACGAGGAAGTGAAACTGTTGTAAAAGCATAAATCGGATTGTCACATCTCGTTAGCACGAGAACGGCAGGCAATGATGTAGAATGGATAATGTTACTGCTCACTCATCAGCTTCCTGGAATTCTGGCAACCGCATTCAATGGTTGTAAGTCGAGACAATTACGTTCCCTGTGAGGTGACTATATAAGGTGAGAGGTAACAATATTGACTCAGAACTGAGAAGCTCAAGAACTTCTACCAAGCTTGAAACGCGAAACGACCTTTCCGATCTTCACGCAAACCTCGGTCACCTCGAAGCTTCCAACATGAGGCGACGCCAATTGCGAAGCGAAAGCAGAGTTAAGTTTGGGTACCAGGTCTACGGGGAGTGCCGGGATTGTGGGGAAGGCGCTGGCGTCTCGGTTCTGCGACGGGGATTGCAGATGGCCTTCAATGCGAGAGGTCGAGATGGCCGAATGTGATTCATCGGCGACTGGCGCAGAAGACAAGAGAGCCCAAGCAAAGGAGGCATGAAATCGTGGTTCCGAGTAGAACGATTTCTGGCGGAGGAGCTGGAGGTGAGGCGTCAAGGCTGCGGACAGCTTCGAGAGCTGTTAACGATAAATGATGGGCATCGTTTGGGTAACTGAATGGATGAGGGACATACCTCAGTGTGGCCGGCTCCGACCTCGAGGGTCAGGAATATGCGAGTTTGCTCGTCATTCGTAAGGTTAGAAAATATGGCAAACGACGCAGAGAACCTAGGTTTTCGCAATCAGCTACACGCTAGACGTGGTCGAGGAGAGGACATACGAGGAATGAGATAGTGTGATTGACCTGACAGCGCGCGTCAGCTCGTCACGCTGATGAGCCCGAAGAAAGATGGGTCGGGAGAGAGATACGTGCAGTTCGTGCGGCACACTTGGGTCAAACGCTGATTCAACACATGAAGTATCACTGGCTTTCTCCGACTTGAGGCCTCTGAAAGACGCGTCTATAGGATGTAGGATAGGCACGCTCTTCTTCGCCTCTTTGTATGCTTTCCTCACCAGCCTGAGCAACTTACTCGCTGGTTCCAAGATCACTGGCACGTAAACATACGCCGCATATTGGCCCTCAATGTAAGGTGCGGTCCTAATCCTCCCTTGATGTAGTGCTGGATTGTCGACCGGCGTGGACGGCTTGAGTGAGGAAGACAAAGCGGGGAGCTTTCTGGATTTGGCAGCTCAGCACTGCATGACACCCACAATATTAGCAAAGATACCTCTTCTTCACCGGCGGAGGTGGCGATGGCACGTCAGTCCGTGGTGGTGTTTCGTGGTCGTCGTCGGAAGCGTAGTCGACGAGAGGCGCGGCCGGTCGCTTCATGGAAGTGAGACCCTAACCCTAATCCAGCGCTTCCTTTGCCACTGATGCTTACCGGGAAGTGCCGGCGCTGCTTCTCGGTATTGCTAGTTCCCTTATCGTACCCCAGCCCCAGCCTTATCTGACAGCAAGTCGGATATAGCGGGCGGCACCGTCGATCGAGGCGGTCTGCACGCCACGAACACTTGTCTTTTCTCTCCGTCTTCCACGACGAGCACGACCACTTTTCTGCCATTTCCAATATCTGAGTCTCAGACAGAACAGCAGCGAAAAATACCATGAGCGTCGCCTTCATCAATAATTTATCGCAAAATCAGTCGTCTTCCGATCCATCATCTGCACATACTCACTCGCATGAGCATGGAGGACCGGCTCACTCACACGACCATGGCTTAGGAGAGCACGGGCATACGCACGAGCATCTCGACAATCCTGGTATGCATTCTTCCGTTGGCCGGTGTTTCACCGAGGGGAACTGGTTCTGTAGGAAAGTACGCCGAGAGAGACCTGCCGGACTATTCGAATCGCAATTTCGAGGAGCGGGGTTTCACAATCGGTATTGGAGGGTGAGTATATATTTTTGCCTCCAACGCAATGTGTCATTTATACGACACGAGCAGTCCTGTCGGGTCAGGAAAGACTGCCTTGACACTCGCTCTCTGTCAAGCCCTTCGCTCAGAATATAACATTGGTCTGCCTCGTCGCCAGCTTTGTCTGCTCTTCAACTCAGCCTTGTCTCACAGCTGCGGTGACGAATGACATCTTCACTAGAGAGGATCAAGAATTCCTCATCACGAACAAGGCGTTGCCAGCGGAGCGGATCCTCGCGATTGAAACCGGAGGATGTCCGCATGCGGCTATTCGAGAGGACATTAGTGCGAACCTAGGTGCGACTAAGGATGAGACCAGAGCTTGGCCTGTATCTTTTTCTGTACCGATGACTGGTTGGCATATGCAGGCGCCCTCGAAACACTCACTGCTCGCTACAACTGCCAAATGCTCATCGTGGAAAGCGGAGGGGACAACCTCGCAGCCAACTACTCTCGCGAACTCGCTGATTACATTATCTACGTTATCGACGTCTCCGTAAGTCGCTTCTGCTCCCTTTTCCAGACCCCTCCAACCAGAACCTCTCTCTCTCGCTTTCCGATCCCCACCTTTTTGCGCACAACCCAGGGCGGCGATAAAATTCCTCGCAAAGGCGGACCCGGAATCACTCACTCCGACCTGCTCGTGGTCAACAAGACCGACCTTGCTCCGCACGTGGGTGCCTCCCTCGAAGTGATGGACCGCGACGCGCGCAAAATGCGCGGCGAGGGCCCGACAGTCTTCACCAGCGTGCGCGAGGGGAAGAACGTAGCTGATGTGGTGGGTCTAGTGGTGGCGGCGTGGAGGGCGGCTGGGGCACCTGGGAAGGCTGGGAAGACTGTGTAAGAGGTGTCGAGGGAGCAACAAATGAAATACAGGAGGACGGTGTATGAATATCCCCGGAAGTTTGTGCGAGTTCGTTGGTATTGGTGCTATGCTACTTGATTACATGTCAGGAAGCCTGGCATCTGTATCATATGCTCACGCCCCTGTCATCTCCCAAGAGGTGTGTTCAGCCTTAATCAAGTGATCCTGCCAGAGAAGCTGCAGGTATTATCGCAACGCAAGACAGGTCTTCAGGACAGTGGCTTCGCCGCCCATACTCTCTAGCCCAGCAAGTAGGTTTCGTTTCCGTTAAATCGCATACACTCTGCATTGCACCGTCATTGACAATCTTAGGAGCGTTCGTCCTGCCATAGCTGCTTCAGACTTGAACTCGACGAAGCGCACTGAAGTATACTTTGTTTGCTCAATGGCGTGCGCTTCGTTAGCTCCTACGTATATTCCGGCCACCTTATTCTCACATCACCGCCTCCTTTCTGAGCTGCGGATTCGCCTGTCACCTCTTTCATGTCCCTGAATTTATATGCATTCGATAGGGTCTTAAACACAGGGAAGGATTACCTGACAGCGGTCTTCTGGGCGTCTTCAGCAAGAATCTTGCATCCAGTAATTCATTTCCTATCGAGGGACCCCGTTAACTTAGGTTAGAGCTCCTTGTGCTCCAGCAAGGATCCTTGCTTCCCTTGTACATATTTCTTCTCGGCCGAGTGGCTGTCATCTGTGGTATGCTCATCCACCAATACTTCTGCTCCTAAACGATGGACCTTTTGGTGGCCCTTGGCATCAAACATGGCGTTCCCTTCTGCGAGTGCCGACATCGGCATCCTGTAGGTTTTTCAAGTTCATTCGTGACATAGGGCCAACTGTGAGTACTTCCTCTACCATGTCGGGCCTTATACAGTCAATCTGACTAGGTCTCCGCTTCCGGTTGGTGATTCATTAACGCCATCGTATCGGCCTTCAATTAACAGAAGGGCAGTATCCGCAAGAAACAGGAGATCGATCCTCCTTCATGCAAACAACGTGAGGTCGACTTGAAGTGTCAGCAAGCGAAGTGCCCGGCCTCTCATCGTACCCGGCATTCTAGCGGCGGTGTTCCTTGAAAACACCGCTGGACTCACGAGGCAGGTGCCACCAGTCTTTACCTGGCCTGGCCTATCGGCCTCATGTCGGACTTTCGCAAAAGGCTCGTCTGACGGAAGGGGTGCAGACAAGAGCTTGCCAACTGCATGCGAGTGTCCTAACATCCCCCGGCTTGGCGTTCAATGCCGCAGGTACCCGCATCATGATCATTCCAGGTGCTGCACCCTCCGCATTCATTGAGTGCGGCATCAAATAAAGACAAGTCGAGCGTAGTCCCGGGTACTCTCCGACGACGAGTCGTGAGCCTACAAAGGACGTATAATTCCCTTGTGCAATCTTGAGCTTCGCTTGTAACAGGGATTAAGACACCCGAACAAGCTTTCGGTACGCCAGGCGAAAATCATTGATAGCTGTCACTCAAGCGTTGATTCTGTCCAAAAAGTCGCTTCGTTCTGCTATTCGATGCCTCCTTGAACGCCGGTATTACTCTCCGAGTATGGACGATCAACTAACGGAAGGAAGGGCTGCACCTCTAGATCAGCGATGCTTGCCAAGAGCGCAGTCGACAGTGGTATGCACCCTACCACTTCCGGGACGCCGGTCCGGGGTTCATCGGTTCGTTCGTCCAGGTAATGAATCCGACGGCGAATATAAAAGTCTTTCTCTGATCCAGGGCCTCAATGTGATTTCCGCTTCTTCTATGCACAATAATACAGTCGGATGCAATCGTCTTGCACACGGGTCCGACCTCCGACTCGGGCGAGTACTGCATGCGAGATCAATGAAATCCTGCATGCAAGTAATTCCCAGCGGAGAGCGAATCTCACTTGCATTCCGAATTATATGAACTCCCGCCGTTGGAATGGAAAAAAGAGTCGGCAACCAGGGTCCTACACTGGGTTGGGAGCATCTTCGTCTCCCGAATGCTGTGAGTGTGAGCATCCCCTTCCGACACGATTCCGAGAGACTCAGACATATCAAGCCTGGTCATTTGCAACGGTCCGTACTGCACGGAAACTATGAATGAGGCGCTATAATTACCTCCTGCGCATACGAAGAGACCCAGAACAAGCGTACCCAGACCTGAGATCTTCTGATACTGTTTCCGGCGTGCGTGAAGCTTGATATGCAGACCTTATTACTATCACGGCCCCGCATCTCACATATGCAATCACAGCGACTATAATGGCGAGCGGCCTAGGCAAAGGTGACGAGTGTAGGCGCCGTACTCAGCGGCGCTTGTGGGTCCTCGGCTTGATTAGTTCGCAATCAGTGCCATCATCCGAGGACCAGGTACATATGATGAGGAAGTCAAAACAGGGGATGCAGGTCACGGGGAACTCGCAAGCCATCTCCTGCCAGGCGATGCATCGATCTCGTACCGAAGAGCATACTTGGTCTTCATGCTCGGTCATAAGATAGCCCGCCACAGTAGATCCACGAGCGTACATCTCAGGAGTCGCTCACAATACTCGTGACGCCCAACATAGGCCAACCTCCGACTTTCCGTATGATAACCAAGTTAGGCTCGCAGCAGCGGAGGAACATAGAGGGGCACGTAGTCCTGATGACCAAAGCAAGATGCAGTGGCAGAGTAGCACCACCTCCGCGGGTTTGATGCAGATGAGTCGCTACCGCAGTATAGGCATAGGTCCATCCATCCTTTGTCTTGTATCCGGCTTCGTAGCCCCCAGACTAAAATATCTCGCGAATCGGCTTTAAGCCGGACCTGTTCAAGTGCAAAAGTAGCCAGGGCAGAATCAAGAGATCAAAACAAGCGCTAATCACCCTATCTCGCGCCGAAGGTACACCGGCGGCGGGCCCAAGGTTAGTCTCCGGTGGCCCCGCAACAGCAGCGCCATTGGCAACGCACCGAATGATATGAACCGCACTCATCGTCGGGATCAGAATCACCCCTACGCAGAACAAAGGAGGGCCGGAGAACCGTATCATAGCACCTACCAAGTCCACAGCAGTGACAGGAATAAGCTTCGTTTGGTTTACACTTCACCATTTGGTCCAGGGTTCGCCGTCACGATCACAACTAACATAAAGTAACCTCATTCGGCTCGAAATAGATCAGAGATGGACAAAATAGAAACCGAAGACGGGGCTGCGGTGGATTGACCAACTGTTGCCGAGTCGACACACTGGGTACAATACCCATATTGAGCCACTGAGAAAGTGTGAAAGGAACCGGACAAAGATCAAATTTTGTTCATAGTGTTGCCTTGGAAAACAAATGAAAGTTCAGTGAACAGTGCTGAACAAAGATCATATCCTGTGTCACAATCAGATTTTTGCGCAGTCAAAAGTAGTATTTTCCCAATTCATTTCACTGACTGTGCAATGGACAATAATGAAAAAAGTTTGACCTTTGACCGGTTATTTTCAAAGTTTTGTGCATGCTCAATATGGGTGATGTACCCAGTGACAGCACGAACAGAGGAACGTACTCCGTTCGGGTTATAGTTCACAGTTCGGCCCATAGTTCGCTGCGACGATCAGAGCAAGCAGACACACGGAGAATATAGACCACAGCCGTTGCCGAGTTCACAGCAAGGGCGTCCTTCATAGCACGGCACGTACGTCCAGGCACCCGCCAACTGTTGCCGAGTGCGCGATAAGAAGAACGGAACCAACTTCAGCTCGCGTTCCGGTCCAGGGCTCACCGCAGCGATCGTAGCATCCCCAGACTCGATCAATCAAGTCACCAAAGGGGCACTTACCCCGCAACGTGCCCTGAGCACTCCCGGCCATGCGTCCCATTAGTTCCTCGACCGCGATCCCGACCACAGATCGCCACAACGATCGCAGCCCCGCTGCCTGATTCGACAAGCGCACCTGCGACGGGTTCACCCGACTCGATAGGCGCTTCGTCGAGCCACAGCTTGACCCGCCGGTCTTGTATTAGCGCGTCAATATCAAGCGGCAGCCACCTGCGGCCGGATATGGGCATCCATCGAGCGCGGGTATAAACCGAAGTGACCCAGAATCAAGCGGGAAAGAGACGCGTCCGGACGCAGTCGCGCTCACCAAGTATGACCGATGCCACAGCGCGAATGTACCCACGGATAACCTCGTAACATGACACGCGAGTCATCCACCGTCCTTTGCATCGCCCCACCCATCCCTATTGCGCGAAGCGCAGTAAAGCAAAGCTAACCGAGGTGCACGCACTTCGTTCCATGTCCCCACTCACCGCATCTCGCTCACTCGCTCCGCGGGGCGACCACGATCGCCACATTCCGCGCGCTCCCCGTCCCCTGATCAAAGAGACTCACCATCCCCGCCTCCCTCCTGTCCCCCGCCTCCTCCAAACCCTCTCTTAACCAGACCACCCGATCCAGCAGCAGCAAGCTCTCCACCGCCGGGCCCAGCAAACACCGCATCACGTACAAGCACCTCAGCCTGCCCTCCATCTCCTTCCCCTCCCTCGTATCCAGGTAGGCGTATGCGTCCGGGGGGAGGGATACCCCGGCTTTGGCCGAGGCGGAGCGCAGGAACGCGGGGAAGGACGTGTACGCGGAGGCGGGGAGCTTCCCCAGGCGCACCTGCGGCCTTGGGGCACTGACACTCTCCCCGGTATCACGATCGCAAGCACACTCAACCTCGGCGCGCCCGGTGACCAGCCCCCTCCGTTCGCTCTGCCCCTCCCGTCCCTCCCTGAGGCCGACCCACCGGCCCAGCAGCGCGCGCCACACCACCTTGTTCATAGCCAGCTCGGCGGCGCGGAGAGTGGCAGGGGTGCGCGTCCATTGGGAGGGGACTTGCGCGGCGAGCTGGACGTGGTGTTGCGTCAGGACCAGCTCGTGATTATTATCAGTACTATCGTAGCTATGATCCGGGCGTGTGTGATCGTGTCTGCGGTAGAGCTCCATCCTGGGCCGGGAGGGGTGCGCAGCGAGGCGCTTCGACAGCGGGAAATCTAAAACAACAGCAATTTGAGTCGCCCGCGAGCACAACCACGGTCCACGGCGTGGAGGAGCATCCACGAACCGTTTTCGGACATGAGGTTGTAACAGCACCCCACGACGAGCGCCGCGGCGGGCGTCCATCTCTGCTCGCCCCCGCGGGACGCGAGGACGCCGCGGAGGATGTCGGGGGTGAGCGAGCCGCAGGCGTGCAGGGCCACTACGAGCACCTGGACCGGCTCTGAGTGTTTGTGTTCATGTTCGGAGGTCCATTCGCTCACGGCCGAGCGCAGCGTGTCGGGGTTGATGCGGATGGTTTTGTGCGTGAGCGAGCCAGAGCTAGAAGGATGCGGGCTGCTTGTTTTGGCGTTGCGCGACTTTGCGGCGATCTTCTCGGCGCGGCGCTCGGCGCCCTGTGTTTGGCGGTCGTCGCCGTCGATGGCGAGGACGTGGAGGCCGAGGGAGTCGCGCAGGGCGCGGGAGAGGTAGCCCTACATAAACATGTTACTGCAAGTGAGATAGGGATAACCCCGATGTGCAGCAAGCTACGCCAGAGTACATAACGTCATAAACAGACCACACCCACCTGTCCAGCACCGACGTCCACGACATGGCTCACGCGAGCGAGCGCAGGCGTGGACGAGAGCAAATGCGCGATGTAGTCGACCATGCGGGCGACCTCGTGGCCCTTCTTGGGGGACATGCCATAGACGGCCGGGCGCTGCGTGGTTTGGATGGAGTCGGGATGCGGGTCGCGGGGGAGCTGGAGGCGGCGCGCAGAGGTGATTACGGATCGGAGCGAGGGTGGGATGGATGGGCATGCGAGGTCCTGGGATGTTGCGTCGAGGTCAGTGGGAGTGGCAGCGGTGATGCGGAGAAGACTGCACCCGTTGGTAGTGGTTGAGCAGGGACAGCCAATCGACCGTGCGCGCAGCGTCGACGTCCCACCAGTCGAGCCAGGCCGCGGGCGGCGTGAAGCCAGGCTCCGCGACGCGGTTCGGGTGCGCCTGGACGAGCGACGCGACGAGCGGGTCCGCGAGGAACGCTGCCAGCCCGCCGAGTCGCTCTGCGTTCATGCTTGAACAGCACATCCCTGCGGTCCTCCGACGCAACGCCATTGGCTACTACCTGCACAGCATTTCCAGAGTGGTTGGCCTCCCATTACACATGGACTGAAACGCATACAATACCGTAAAATACTATCCAGTCCTCTTCAATCCAGCCTGTGGCTATGTCCGAAAAACTGCTATTCGCCTCAGCACTCTCGTCCATAAATCCTGCCCCGCCCTTTCTCGTCAGAAACACTGTACCAAAATCCCTCAGGGCCATCCCCCCTTCCCTTTGTTCCGCATCTCTCGTCGGTACACACCAGGGTCCCTCTGACACACCTCTCTCTCCCCATCCGCGCCTTCCCGCCAATATTCTGGCAAAAGGCGCGCTTGGTACGCCCGCCGTCCCTTCTCATCACTCAATTAATCAATTAATCTCATTACTCACGTAGTGGCGCGCCATCTGGCTGCGTCAAGCCCTCTATCAAGGATCTCCGCTCTCTTCCTATATTACCCTTTATTTGTTCTGCTGTGTGAGAGAAATAGAGGGATCTGGTTACGCCTTCAACGCGCCGGCACTGAGAACGAGAACGAGCTCGCGCAAGCTTCCGCGTGATCTTCTCCAACGCGCGCCGCTTTCGCGTTGGTACGATCATGTTCCCCTTCCTGCGCGATGGGGACCTATCCCCCAGTCCTGGCTTCACTGTAAGTACGTATGAGGATACGTGCTGATGCCCATTGGGAAAGCGAAGGAACAGGACGACGATGGCCCGCGCGACGGCCTACAACTCATCAGCCCGCGCAAAGCCGCCATCCTCGCCGAATCCTCTTCCCCTTCCTCCAAACCTACAAGTCCACCTTCAAGCCAATTAACCAAAGCCGCAGACCCCGGTAGCGGCCTTGACTTGCCTAGCGTCCCAAGCAACCTCTGCCCCCGCCTCCCATCCTCGAGTTAACCGAAAAAGAAAGCCCGCTCAACCCTAACCACCGCCCCCGCCCCGACCCGGGACCCTCGCGCAAATCTCCACCTTCCTCGCCGCGGGGCACGAAACCACGTCCTGCGCGCTCACCTCCCTCGCCCGCTCCCCTTCCACCCCAGCGCGCCGCTCTCTCCTCTATCTCCCCCTCCCCCCCCTCGCCTTTCCCTCTTCCCCCGACGTGATGCGGTACAAAGACTCAGAACGACAGGTGATGGCGTGCGAGTACCACGGAGACGCTGAGGATGCACGCGCCGCTCACGAACCCCATGCGTGACTCCGCCGTCGTCCCCGAACGCGCGAGGAAGAACATGGTGGAGGTGAGGAAAGGCGATATCATCACCATCCCGATCCAGGCGGCTGATCAGCGCACGGAGGTGTGGGCGGTCTTCCGGCTTCAAGTTGTCTGCCTCTGCAACTACTCAGAGCTGACGGTTTGCTTTTCACCTCAATCTGTTCTCGTGCCTGGTACGGGGGTGCACTACCGCTACGTACACACAGAACCGCAGCGCTGGCGCACCCGCACGCGGCCCCCGGGCATGTACGCGCACATCCTCACCTTCCTCCACGGCAACCCGAGCAACGGGAACCGCGCGTGTCGGGTGGAAGCTCGCGGTGGCTGAGTGAGCGCTCCTCTTTTCTTTTCTTGTGTATTGTTGTTACTATTATTACGCCCGCACGCAAGGAGGGAGGCCAGGCGCGATCGTACCTCGCCCGTGGGCCAGGTACCCGTGCGCTCTCCGATAAGCTGGTGGTCGCGCGGGGTGTTTGTATGCCATGCCGTACGCAGCCGTGCGACCGCGCTGTTTCTCTGGCTTGCTTACTTTGTATCCGTGTATTGGTGGCGGGGCGGGTGTCTCTGTGCACTGTGCCGTATGTAGCCGTGGGATGGGGCGCACTTGCTTGCTTACTTGTGGGCGTGTTAGGATCAAAATGTTTTTGTTGCGAGCGAAGCGAGCAATTCTTCACTAGGGCAGAAGTCCGCGACAAACATGTACAAATTCTACTCCCGGTGGCTGAGGGACCCACAAAGACCAAGGGCCAGCTATAAGTTGATACAGAGCTTTAAATATCCTCGGATTGAGCCTGGAAAGGTTCCAGAATCAATGATACCTATTTACTTGCCCTACCTATCACAAAACATGCCACGAAATACAGTAAGTTGAGCCGTATGCATGCAAGGTTGGTGTGTATGGTGCACCAGCTGTGCCACATAACAGGACAACGTGTCGCGCCACACCACGTTACGCTTCGCGAGCAACTCTGCGCGAGCGCGCATCACTAGTACGTCCT